GTGCCCCATAGTTGGTGTCAGTGGGAGGAATAGTGCCCCATCATTGGTGTCGGTGGGAGGAATAGTGTCCCATCATTGGTGTCAGTGGGAGGAATAGTGTCCCATCATTGGTGTCAGTGGGAGGAATAACATCCCATCGTTGGCGTCAGTGGGAAGAATAGCACGCCATTGTTAGTGCCAATGGAAGGAATAGTGCTTTGTATCAGGGGCGTTCCTAGGGTTGGTGTTGGTTGCGGTAACACTTGGTGACACCCCTCTCCGACGATCCTCGCAGAATGGATCAGATCTGCAGATTGAGCGTAATGGATCGGATTCTGATCCATTATGCTCAATCCGCAGATCCAATCCTTCCTGCGGGGATCGTCGGCTTGCTTTACAACTTACCTTTTCGTGGAGCGGGTCCGGTGTCACCCCGCACGGTAGGTGTCACCCGGTTCGGCGCGCACCCCCCTCACCTGCCTAGGGACGCCCCTGCTTTGTATCACTGGAAGGAAAAGTGCCCCAAGGGACAGATAATAGCAAGCAAAGGACCACATCCAGTCCGCGGGTCGCAAGTTTGGAAAAAGAAATATAATCTACCTTCCTTTTCTGTTTACTAATGATTAGAGATGAGCGAATCGAACTTGGCGAAGTGGAATTCGTTTTGAATATTAGGAAAAATTTGATTCGCACCGAATCTGAATATTAGCAAACTTCGGATGCGCGAATCGAATTTTTCCCGATCGGCTGATTTTCATCCCTTCTACAGCCGGCAAAAAGTGTCCCTGCAGAGAGCTCCGCTATTTCTGACAGTTCTCTGACAGTTCCTTCACATTTACAGCGGTTGAAACATTGTATCTATTTGTTTCCATTTAGGATACAGATGTTTTTATTCGGAAACAAAAAGATACAATGTTTCAACCGCTGTACATGTGAAGGAACTGTCAGAGAACTGTCAGAAATAGCGGAGCTCTCTGCAGATACACTTTTTGCTGTACTGGAATTCTTCTTCTTTTCATTCTTCTTCTTCTTTTCATTCTTCTTCTTCTTTTCATTCTTCTTCTTCTTCTTCTTTTCATTCTTCTTCTTCTTTTCATTCTTCTTCTTTTCATTCTTCTTCTTTTCATTCTTCTTCTTCTTTTCATTCTTCTTTTCATTCTTCTTCTTTTCATTCTTCTTCTTCTTTTCATTCTTCTTCTCTTCTTTTCATTCTTCTTTTCATTCTTCTTCCTCTTCTTTTCATTCTTCTTCTTCTTCTTTTCATTCTTCTTTTCATTCTTCTTCTTCTTCTTTTCATTCTTCTTTTCATTCTTCTCATTCTTTCTTTTCATTCTTCTTTTCATTCTTCTTCTCATTCTTCTTTTCATTCTTCTTCTTTTCATTCTTCTTCTTCTTTTCATTCTTCTTTTCATTCTTCTTCTTCTTCTTTTCATTCTTCTTCTTCTTTTCATTCTTCTTTTCATTCTTCTTCTTTTCATTCTTCTTTTCATTCTTCTTCTTCTTCTTCTTTTTCATTCTTCTTCTTCTTCTTTTCATTCTTCTTCTTCTTTTCATTCTTCTTCTCATTCTTCTTTTCATTCTTCTTCTTCTTCTTTTCATTCTTCTTCTTCTTTTCATTCTTCTTTTCATTCTTCTTCTTTTCATTCTTCTTCTTCTTCTTTTCATTCTTCTTTTCATTCTTCTTCTTCTTCTTTTCATTCTTCTTCTTCTTCTTTTCATTCTTCTTTTCATTCTTCTTCTTCTTCTTTTCATTCTTCTTTTCATTCTTTCTTCTTTTCATTCTTCTTCTTTCTTTTCATTCTTCTTTTCATTCTTCTTCTTCTTCTTTTCATTCTTCTTCTTTTCATTCTTCTTCTTCTTCTTTTCATTCTTCTTTTCATTCTTCTTCTTCTTCTTTTCATTCTTCTTCTTCTTCTTTTCATTCTTCTTTTCATTCTTCTTCTTCTTTTCATTCTTCTTTTCATTCTTCTTCTTCTTCTTCTTCTTTTCATTCTTCTTCTTCTTCTTTTTCATTCTTCTTTTCATTCTTCTTCTTCTTTTCATTCTTCTTCTCATTCTTCTTTTCATTCTTCTTCTTCTTCTTTTCATTCTTCTTTTCATTCTTCTTCTTTTCATTCTTCTTCTTCTTCTTTTCATTCTTCTTTTCATTCTTCTTCTTTTCATTCTTCTTCTTTTCATTCTTCTTTTCATTCTTCTCATTCTTCTTTTCATTCTTCTTTTCATTCTTCTTTTCATTCTCTTCTTCTTCTTTTCATTCTTCTTCTTCTTTTCATTCTTCTTTTCATTCTTCGTCTTCTTCTTTTCATTCTTCTTCTTCTTCTTTTCATTCTTCTTTTCATTCTTCTCATTCTTCTTTTCATTCTTCTTTTCATTCTTCTTCTCATTCTTCTTTTCATTCTTCTTCTTCTTCTTTTCATTCTTCTTCTTTTCATTCTTCTTTTCATTCTCTTCTTCTTCTTTTCATTCTTCTTTTCATTCTTCTTTTCATTCTTCTTCTTCTTCTTTTCATTCTTCTTCTCATTCTTCTTTTCATTCTTCTTCTCATTCTTCTTTTCATTCTTCTTCTTCTTCTTTTCATTCTTCTTTTCATTCCTCTTCTTCTTCTTTTCATTCTTCTTCTTCTTTTCATTCTTCTTCTTCTTCTTCGTCGTGCCCCGTGACTGCCCAAATGAGTGAAGTGTGCGGTGATTCTAAGATCGACGGCACTCATCTGCATGTCATACTGACTGACAGTATTATTTCTCTTCCCCAGCAGACTCCAAGGGCATTTAAATTAAAGGTACAGTGTTCTGCACTAATATAAAGGCTCTCTGAAGCCTAGAAACCCTTTAAATAAGTTAAATTTGCAGCGAATAAATTCGCATCGAATCGAATTTCTTCCGCAAATTCGGCGAATCAGCCGAATCGAATTTTTGAATAATTCGCTCATCTCTACTAATGATACAAACATGAGGATTAAATATAGTTCACGTGGATTGAGAGAGTTCTGCTTTAAAGATCAGCTTTAATCAATAGCAGGGGCGGACTGACAAATCATGGGGCCCCCGGTCAATAGGGGATTATGGGGCCCCTGTGTCCTTGGCCACACTCAAAGCACATGCAAAAAAGCCTATAAAAATGGTACCAGGGGCATTTCATGGGGTCCCCTACTGCCGGGCAGTGCCCGAGTGCTCGAATGGTCAGTCCGCCCCTGCTCTCTGCACAGCATGTCTCCCTAGTAGCACACAGCACACAGTTAACCCTTTGATCACCCCTCACATTAACCCCTTCCTGCCCAGTGTCATTAGTACAGTGTCGAGTGCTTGAATGGTCCGTCCGCCCCTGATCAATAGCCCCCCAAAGTAGATCTGCCATGTTTTTTAGTCCCTGTACTTGTTTTCCAACAGATCCGAAATAAATTTGAAGAATTCTGCTATAAGGAAGCGAGTAGCGGAGCGGCGCGGGTCTATTGTGTTCTGGTGACATTTTGTATTCTCCTGTTCGGGATGAGAGGAGAGAATGTTTTGTCGGTGACACACACAAGGTCGAGATGTTCCGTCTACTTATTGTTTGTCAATGCGGACTGTGCCGGCGAGGCTGCGGGCTGCCGATTCACACCGGGCTTTTCTCCGGAGAATAAAGAGCCGTGTGAAAGACTCAGAATTATAAATGGATCTGTAGTGTTGTCTATAGATCGGCTTTATTGAATTAATGCGGCCAGGGCTGAAAAAAAAAAAATCATTTTTGAAAATATACTCAAAGAGATTGCAAAGAATTAAAGTGATTGCAGATCTCAGACATGACATATGGAAAATAATGACTTGATCCCCTGCAGATTTTTTACGTTTGCCCTCTTACAAAGAAATGAAGGGTCTATCATTTTGATCATGGGTGTATTTTAAATGATCGAGGCAGAATATCAACCAAAAATCCAGAAAAAACACGATACAAATGTTATAAATTGAGTTGCAGTTCAGTGGGATAAATAAGTATTTGATCCCCTACCAACCAACAATGATTCTGGCTCAGGGGCGGACTGACCATTTGGAAACTCGGGAACCGGGGTCAGTAGAGGGCCCCATGAGATGCCCCTGGTACCTTTTTCATAGGCTTTTTTGAGTTTGGGCAAGGACACAGGGGCCCCATGATCCTCTATTGCCCGGGGGGCCCCATGAGTTGTCAGTCCACCCCTGTTCTGGCTCCCACAGACTGGCTATGTGCTCATGTGGTACACAGATCAGTCCTGTCCATGGAAGAAGGTTGTAAGGGACCTCCTGGCGGTACCACTAGCACCCCACTGATCAGGCGTCCCCAGAGCACGGAATCTAAGCCCCAGAGTACTTGTTCACCAGGGCCCCTGATGGTGGGGATGAACTTGGAGTACCCTGAGACCAGGTCGTGGCTACTGAGTATACCTGTCAGTGGTAGGGGTAATCGCCAGGGGCTCCCACGGGGGACAGCCTGATATGAGGAGGTCGGGTGATCCTGATGGGATGGATGGATGGCTGAGCAGGTGCGAGGTCAGACAAGCCGGGTCGGTAGCCGTGGGGACGGTGCGGTACAAAGCAGTGGGCAGAGAATAGTCGGGTCACTCGCCAGGTCAGCAACAGAAGGTCAGATCTAATAAGGGGTATCCAGGAGAGAGGTCAGGCAAGCCAGGGGTCAGAGCAGGAGAATACAGCGTGGTCAGGTACAATCCAGGTCAGCAACTTACAATACACAGGTTCGCAGATACAGGAATACAGGAAAGACCAGAAGGCACTGAATGACAGCTTAGGGCCGTTTAAATATCGCGCCCTGCGCTGTCATTGGTGCCAGGCGCGCGCCCGCGGCTCCTACTGCGCATGCGCGAACCCGGACGCCTGCGTCCCTGCACGGGGTGGCGCACTGCGCCTGCACCGGGACCAGCGCCGCAGGGATCCCTGACAAAGGTGCCGCTAACGACAACTCATTATGTGTATAAAAGACACCTGTCCACAGAATCTCTTTCTTCCATTCAAACCTCTACACCACCATGGGCAAGACCAGGGACGGACTGACCATTTGGAAACTCGGGCACTGCCCGAGGGCCCGGGGTCAGTAGGGGGCCCCATGAGATGCCCCTGGTACCTTTTTCATAGGATTTTTTGAGTTTGGGCAGGGACACAGGGGCCCCATGATTCCCTATTGCCCGGGGGCCCCATGAGTTGTCAGTCCACCCCTGGGCAAGACCAAAGAGCTGTCAATGGACATCAGGGACAAGACTGTAGACCTGCACAAGGCTGGAATGGGCTACAGGACCATCAGCATGAAGCTTGGTGAGACGGAGACAACTGTTGGAGTGATTATTCGCAAATGGAAGAAATACAAAATAACCATCAATCTTCCTCAGTCTGGAGCTCCATGCGAGATATCTCCTCATGGGGTAAGGATGATCATGAGAAAAGTGAGGGATCAGCTCAGGACTACAGAGGAGGAACTCGTGAATGATCTCAAGCAGGGGCGGACTGACCATTCGAGCACTCGAGCACAGCCCGAGGGCCTGGGGTCAGTAGGGGGCCCCATGAAATACCCCTGGTACCTTTTATAGGCTTTTTTGGGTGTGATTTGAGTGTGGGCAAGGACACAGGGGCCCCATGATCCCCTATTGCCCGGGGGCCACATGAGTTGTCAGTCCGCCCCTGATCTCAAGGCAGCTGGGACCACAGTCACCAAAAAAAACATTGGTAACACAATACGCTGCCATGGATTGAAATCAATAGGTCCCCCTCCTCAAGAAGGCACATGTACAGGCCCATCTGACGTTTGCCAATGAACATCTAAATGATTCAGAGAAGGATTGGGAGAAAGTGTTGTGGTCAGATGACACCAAAATTGAGCTCTTTGGCATTAACTCAACTTGCCGTGTTTGGAGGAAGAAAAATGCTGACTATGACCCTAAGAACACCATCCCTACAGTCAAGCACGGAGGTGGAAACATTCTGCTTTGGGGCTGTTTCTAAAGATACAGGTCGACTTTGCCGTATTGAGGAGCCAATGGAAGGCCCATGTATTGAAAAATCTTGAATGAGAACCTTCTTCCCTCGTCCAGAACACTGAAGATGGGTCGCAGATGGGTCTTGGAGGAAAAAAAAAAAAAAGTCTATCTATGACCCTAACAGCACCATCCCTACAGTCAAGCACGGAGGTGGAAATATTATGCTTTGGGGCTGTTTTCTCTGCTAAAGGTATAGGCTGACTTTGCCTCATTGAGGGGCCAATGGACAGGGTATATATATATATACACACACAAACAGGGGCGGACTGACCATTTGGAAACTCGGGCACTGCCCAAGGGCTCGGGGTCATTAGGGGGCCCCATGAGATGCCCCTGGTACCTTTTTCATAGGCTTTTTTGAGTTTGGGCAAGGACACAGGGGCCCCATGATCCCCTGTTGCCCGGGGTCCCCATGAGTTGTCAGTCCACCCCTGCACACAGTATATATATATATATATATTTATATATATAAATAAAAGGATTTATAACCATTTTAACTCACATACCTGAATGACTCAGGGGAGTGTCTTCTCCCCCCTCCCGGCATATTCAGAGCCCCTCCATACAGAGATTCAATTCCAGAAAAGAGTCTGAAAGTAATCAGGTTCTTTTCCATTTTTTTTTTTTTTTTTACAGAAATCCTAACATCCTTTTTGGGATTCAGGTTCATGGGGGCACTTTATATTTTTTTTTTCTGTGTGTGACACAAATATTTTAGATAAGTATTTAAATGGCAGTCAGTATTGTGGACGGTGTATGTGCCAATGTGTCACCGAGGGATTTTTTTTTTTACATGCACATGGTGAGGGGCTGCAGGGTTAAAGGCCGCCGTGTAGAAAACAAACTTTTTGTCTTCTCAGAATCTTAATAGGTTTAGTCAGGGATTGTTTACTGCAGGAAAATGGGGGGGGGGGGGGGGGGGCGCCGCTCTGGCACCTCATATTGTGTACTGTTTCTTGATCTATTGTTGCTGGGAATGGGTATTATGATAAATGCAGGGGGGTCAATTGTTGCTGGGAGGGATCTATTGTTGAGGGAGGGGTCTATTGATGCTAGCTGTTGGGAGTCTATTGTACTTGGGTGGATCTCTTATTGCGGGGGGGTCCATTGTTGCTGGGGAGGGAGTCTATTTTTGCTGGGGGTCTAATGCTGCTAGCAGGGGCGGACTGACAACTCATGGGGCCCCCGGGCAATAGGGCATCATGGGACCCCTTGCCCAAACAAAAAATCCTATGAAAAAGTTACCAGGGGCACCTCATGGGGCCGCCTACTGACCCCGGGCCCTCGGGCAGTGCCCGAGTTTCCAAATGGTCAGTCCGCCCCTGGCTGCTAGCTACTATCTTTCTTGCTATCATTAACACATTCCATACAAATTACTTAGCACCAAAAAATTATACTTGGATCCGTATTCTCTAAAAAGGGGGGCGGTACTGGGAAGTGCGCAGGGGGTGGAGACACGGGGTGAAGGGGGGAGTTCCTAAACCTATTTTCTGAGGAAAAAAAAAAAAAGCCCTGGGTTTAGTTCTGGGTTCTCCACTGCATGGAGTCTTATCGATCTAATAGCCTTGTCCCCATCTTCAGTGGTTACACAGTTTTCCATTCTGCTCCATAAATTTTCCATAAATGCTGCTGTTCCGCTGATCCTGCACCCAAGGGTGGACTGACCATTTGGAAACTCGGGCACTGCCCAAGGGCCCAGGGTCAGTAGGGGACCCCATGAGATGCCCCTGGTACCTTTTTCATAGGCTTTTTTGAGTTTGGGACACAGGGGCCCCATGATCCCCTATTGCCCGGGGGACCCATGAGTTGCCAGTCCGCCCCTTCCTGCACCCTTCCTACCTGGAAAGAAATCAGGGGCATGTTTTTTTAACGGGGGAAAGAAAAATCGGGAACACTTTTTACTCAGGGACAGCCCCCCAGAAATCAAGGACTGTCCCCTAGGCAAGACCAGCTACTTGCGCCCCCCCCCCCCCCCCCAAAAAAAAAAGATAGGTAAATAAAACAATTTTTAACACAGTATTTCTCAATGGCTGCAGGAATGCAGCCAGAGAGAAGGAGAAATGATTGCTTTTACAGCCTTTATGGGTGTAAAAGCAATCAGTGTAAAAAAAAGAAAATCTTCATCACCCCCCACAAGTAGTACAATGTCACCATGGTTCTAGGGCAGTGGTCGGCAAGCCGCGGCTCGCGAGCCACATGCGGCTCTTTACCCACTCTAATGCGGCTCTTCTGTGTGCCGGGCGCCCGCTCCCCTCCCTCCTCTCGGTCGGCCGCGCTCCCCTGCCTCCTCTCGGTTGGCAGCCCCAAAAGTCCGCGCGGACCTTTTAATCCGGCCCGCGGATGTGGCTGTCAGGATGTGTGTAGGCGGGGCAGCGTGCCGAACGTGAGGGGAGGGGAGCTAGGCTCCTCTCACAGTCCGCCCTGAAGACCCGAACGGCGCGGGAAGACAGCGAGAGGAACGCAAAAGGTAAGTGAATTGACACGGGGGACTTGGCTTACTAGAAGAGGGGGGGGGGGAATAGTACTGTGGGGGATGAAATACTATATGAGGGATGAAATACTATATGGGGGATGAAATACTATATGAGGGATGAAATACTATATGGGGGATGAATTACTATATGGGGGATGAATTACTATATGGGGGGATGAATTACTATATGAGGGATGAATTACTATATGGGGGGATGAAATACTATATGAAGGATGAAATACTATATGGGGGGATGAAATACTATATGAGGGATGAAATACTATATGGGGGGATGAAATACTATATGAGGGATGAAATACTATATGAGGGATGAAATACTATATGGGGGGATGAAATACTATATGAGGGATGAAATACTATATGAGGGATGAATTACTATATGAGGGATGAAATACTATATGAGGGATGAAATACTATATGGGGGGATGAAATACTATATGAGGGATGAAATACTATATGGGGGGATGAAATACTATATGAGGGATGAAATACTATATGGGGGGATGAAATACTATATGAGGGATGAAATACTATATGGGGGGATGAAATACTATATGAGGGATGAATTACTATATGAGGGATGAATTACTATATGAGGGATGAAATACTATATGGGGGGATGAAATACTATATGGGGGGATGAAATACTATATGAGGGATGAAATACTATATGGGGGGATGAAATACTATATGAGGGATGAAATACTATATGGGGGGATGAAATACTATATGAGGGATGAAATACTATATGAGGGATGAATTACTATATGAGGGATGAAATACTATATGGGGGGATGAAATACTATATGGGGGGATGAAATACTATATGGGGGGATGAAATACTATATGAGGGATGAATTACTATATGGGGGATGAAATACTATATGAGGGATGAAATACTATATGAGGGATGAAATACTATATGGGGGATGAAATACTATACGGGGGATGAAATACTATACGAGGGAAGAAATACTATACGGGGGATGAATTGCTATGGGGGATGAATTACTATATGGGGGATGAATTACTATGGGGGATGAATTACTATATGGGGGGGATGAATTACTATGGGGGATGAATTACTATATGGGGGATGAATTACTATGGGGGATGAACTACTATATGGGGGATTAATTACTATATGGGGGATGAATTACTATATGGGGGATGAATTACTATGGGGGATGAATTACGATGGGGGATGAATTACACTATGGGGGATGAATTACACTATGGGGGATGAATTACTATATGGGGGATGAATTACTATATGGGGATGAATTACTATGGGGGATGAATTACTATATGGGAGATGTATTTTCAGTTTTAAAAATGTGGCTCTCAAAATAAATTTCAATCATGGTTTTGGCGAGATTTGGCTCAGTTGAAAAAAAAGGTTGCCCACCACTGTTCTAGGGTGACAGTATGTTAAAAAAAAACAAAAACATATAAAATAATATAAAAAAAATAAAAATGTAAATAATGTTTTTGGAAAATTATAAATGTTGGTTATAAACTAATTTGGGTTATTTATTTATTTTTTTTACTAAAAAGGTGAATACAGCTTGGCCAAGATTTATGAAGAAAGATTATTTATTTGCTAAATTTTATAAGAAAAACAAATTTTTTTCAAAATTTTTGGACTTTTTCATTTATATAGAGAAAAAAAAATAAAAATCCCAGCAGTGAATAAATACCACCAAAATAAAGTTTTATCTGTCTCAAAAAAATGCTAAAAAATTCATATGGGTACAGTGTTGCATGACCGCGCAATTGTCATTCAAAGTGTGATAGTACTGGAAGCTGAAAATTGGCCTGAATAGGAAGGGGGTGAAAGTGTCCGGACTGGAAGGGGGGGAAAGTGTCCGGACTGGAAGGGGGGAAAGTGTCCGGACTGGAAGGGGGGGAAAGTGTCCGGACTGGAAGGGGGTGAAAGTGTCCGGACTGGAAGGGGGGGAAAGTGTCCAGACTGGAAGGAGGGGAAAGTGTCCGGACTGGAAGAGGGGGAAAGTGTCCGGACTGGAAGGGGGGGAAAGTGTCCGGACTGGAAGGGGGGGGAAAGTGTCCGGACAGGAAGGGGGTGAAAGTGTCCGGACTAGAAGGGGGGGAAAGTGTCCGGACTGGAAGGGGGTGAAAGCGTCCGGACTTGAAAGGGGGTGAAAGCGTCCGGACTGGAAGGGGGTGAAAGTGTCTGGACTGGAAGGGGGTGAAAGTGTCTGGACTGGAAGGGGGTGAAAGTGTCCGGACTGGAAGGGGGGGAAAGTGTCCGGACTGGAAGGGGGTGAAAGTGTCTGGACTGGAAGGGGGGGAAAGTGTCTGGACTGGAATGGGGGGAAAGTGTCTGGACTGGAAGGGGTTAAAGTGGTTATAAAGTCTCAAGGTTTTTTTACTGTCATGTATTCTACGCATAAATCTAAAAAAGCTTCTGTGAGCAGCATGCCCCCCGCAGCCCCCTAATGCTCACCTTAGCCCCCTCTTGACCCATCGATGTGCACTGGAGTCTCGGCTATCCCGGGACTCCCTTTTCTTATCGGCTGAGACAGCCATTGGCTCCCTCTTCTGTCAATCACAGCTAGTGTGCCAATGAGAAGAGAGAGGGGGTGAGGCCGAGCCTCGGCTCTGTGTGTGAATAGACACACAGCGCTGCGGATGCCCCCATAAAAAGTTGCTTGCTGTGGGGGCACCTGGGAGGAGGGAGGGGCCAGGTGAGCCTGCGGGGGACCTGAGAAGAGGAGGATCTGTGCAAAACCACTACACAGAGCAGGTGAGTATAGACATGTTTGTTATTTAGAAAAAAAAAATTTGGATTCATTTTATTGCTCTTTTTTTGGTCAAATTGCATCTTTGAGATGTTGGTCCATCCCAGGGGTATCCCTAGGGTTGGTGTCACCCGATGCGGTAACGTTTGATGTTACCCCTAGGACGAACCCCGCAGGATGGATCGGGTCTGCGGATTGAGCATAATGGATCGGAGTCCGATCCATTATGCTCCCAATCCCCAGAT